GAGCAGCAAATTTCTATACCCTTTGAATAACCATAGACTCTCTAACCCTTTAATGCCCAGTAGTTATATATGCCGCCTGCTTTAACATACTAAAACTCTGTATTTGTGTGTTTCATGTGGTTCTCAAAGAAAATAGCGACAGTTTCTCTGAACAAAGTCAAAGTTACTTTCCGAATGGCGTTTTACCGCCAATCAATTCCTTTTGGCATCAAGCCACTGGAGACTCACGGCCAGAGATTTTTTCAAATGAATCCCTACGGTAATAATCCTTACGTAACATTCTCTCTGACCCTACCGGGCCTCGAACTCCAACCCCTCGGTCGTCCAGCCAGTAGCCAGTTCCTATACCAACTGCGCTTTCCCGGCTCCCTGGCACATTATATATGGAGTTACAAAATGTTCCTGAAGGAAACGCACTGTGGCATTCCTCAGTTGCTACTGTCGCCTCACAACTGGGCAGGTTTATGGTTCTATGCAATTGTTCTTCTTACGTAAGATATTTTTATTTCACACGAATATTTTGCGTGATATAATAACAGTGACTCAGTTGGTCACGTGCTCATTACATTAACGTGGAATCAGTGCGGCTATAGACTACAAGAGGAGTTTCTCGCATAGATGTGTGTCATGAACACTGCGAAAATACAAATGCAGGCAATTGTTCCCTCGCAAAAATCTGTGAGCAAGGTACTGGCATACACGCGCCATAGCTCAAGCGGTTAGTCGCTGGCTTCCCACCGCGGCGGCCCGGGTTCGATCCCGGTTCTGGTCAAGTTGGATTTGTGGTGGACAAATTGACGCTGGGGCAGGTTTCCTCCAAGTACTTCGGTTTCCCTTGCCAATCTTCTTTCCACCAATTGCTCCACAGTCACCCTCACCTATCATCTGGGGCTGGTACAGAAGTGGCCGCAGTACAAGGGACTTAGTCCCACTCCACTAGCATTAAATAAAAAGAAGGTACTGGAAGGTTTTATCAGGCCATACGGTCGAACATCGGAATAGGATAAAGCCATTTTCCTCTCCGTTGTATCGACTTCACAATGGTTTATTGACCTTTCATTTAACCAGAAATAAATAACTTCTGTAGATGATATTATTTGTTAAATAATGTACAAATAGTCATACCGTAAATATTCGATTAAATCGATTAAATGTAGTGGCCAATACAGTGGCTTCGTTTCTTATTATAAAATATAAACTGAGAATATTTGCCAGTGAATGCGCAAGCTGGTCCTGATCATTACATTTTCTGACAGGATAGGAGAGCTCTGTAGGCTGGAGTGTTGAGTTTGATGCATAATGTAACAGAAACAGTCCATTTACATCTAATACATACTACGTAAAAACAGCTTGCTACCAGCTTATCTTGAGTGAGGGTTTTCTTGGTTTTACCCACTCCCTCCAAACACATGCTACTATATTACGCCGGCTAGGCCATGACCGCTGACTTCCAAATCTTTTCCAATTCTTCAATTTCCCATTATCCGACGTTACATAATCTTCATACTGACAGCGTCGTTAAATAACCCATGACGCTGCATCCACCTGCACACGCTGGTTCCTCGCTCGCGGATTTTTATACCCTGAAGATAAAGGTGATATGTTTCTCCGAAACGACGGTTAACACAAATAACTACACGGCGCCACATCCCAGAAGACGGAATTTTTCGATATTAGATATGATGGGGTGATGTGGACTGGATTGATCTGGCTCAGGATAGAGATCATTGAAGGGCTCTTGTGAACACGGTAATGAACCTTCGGGTTTGCGTAAATTGCTGGGACGTTCCTGAGTAACTGCAAAATTTGCGGCTTTTCAAGAAGGGCTCAGCTCCATGAAGTCAATTACTTGTTTTTAATAGTTTTCAATTAAATTGTATCTTATAATTCGGTAAATGTAAAAATAAACACAAGAGCTTCAATAGTAACATGGTTTGGAACTATAACGGGACACTGGCAAAGAAATTGCAAATAGTTCTTCGGCCCTCGCTTGAAAGACTTGTGGTAATGTATCACATGCTTCTTTAATCCTCGTTGCCCTGCCTCAAACGATGAATTAAGGTCACTTATATAGAAATATTATTATTAATCTTCATCTACAGCAATGCTATATCCGTACATACTTAAGCAGAGCAACAATCACGATTTCTGCATTAGCACGAACCGCTGTAGGACTCATTGCGCATGCGCCACTGCGTCACTTCCAGGAACCAGAGCTGCTTCTTGAGGCGAGATAGGATTACGTTAACAGTTACAAACGAAAACGTGCGTCGAACTGTTACGATTTCAAAATTAAAGAACCGTAATAATGAATAAACGAGTCAGGAAATGTATGCATAACAATTAGTCTGGTCCATTCTCTTAGTCCAGTGTTTTCTTTGGAATTTATTGTGTTACTCTTATTAAATTTTGTACATATTTTCTTTTCATTAAGGTCAAATTATGATCCTGGTGTGAAGTTGTGCTTATTTAGCGCTAGGCAAATTCGAGGTGTGAATTCGAGCATCACGATGTAACGGTTAAAACTTTTGCTTCGAATTCCGGAGATCCTGTTTTCGGTTCTCAGCACGGTGTCCAGATATCTTGAAGTTTTTCGTAAATTCTCCCTCAGTATTTTCAGACAAATACTAGTACTATATGTACCTTAAAATTGGCCACAACCGCTTCCAAATCAATTCTCCCTAGTTCATCTGTGGGAACCGCCCACACTAAACCAAGTGTTGTAAAGCCAATACGCTTATTCTATAATTGTCGCTAGAAATTATTCACTGCTACGCAACAACCCAATAGATTAGGGATAGCATAGTCGGTATAGCGACAAGCTACGGGCCGGACGACCGAGGTGTCGGAGTTCGAGTCCCGATGGGAGCAAGAATTTTCATTTCTCATGTCGTCTAGATCGGCTCTGGGGCCCACTCAAATTCATATTTAATCGGGGCTAAAGAGGCCTGGGAGTGAAGCTGACCACTCACCTCCAACTAGTGCCGAGGTCAAGAAAATTCTGATATATTCATCCACTCCACCATACACCTCCCTGGCGTAGTGCTTAATTAGTTAAACACAGGGGCAACTTTACCTTTTTACTTTTTTGCAACGACCCAACAATGAAGTTATCCACGGAGCCACAGCAAGACAACACAGTGCAGCCACTGTCATTCAATTCTATATGAGATAAGTGATTGAGAAAGCTAAATAAAAAAAATAAATTTAAGATATGAAAAACTGAATCACCGCTAGAAAAAAAAAACAAATTCTCATAAGATAATTTTTCTAAAGGATAATTCTGCTGAAGAAAATTGGTCCGTTGTTCAGTTCTGTTTTCAGCTGTATCAATATAGAGATCTGTATAAATTATTCTAAACATTCATAAAGGTCTTTATTATGAGTATCATCTTATTCACTATCATCATCATCTTCCCCTTCTGCTCTCCATTAATTAGGCTCTTCTCTTCACGATTGGTCTCAGCCTTGTTCCAAGTCATTATATTCTTATATCTTCAGAATCGTGTTTCTTTCTCTCATTCATTAATGGCTCTACAGCCCCTTGTTGGGCCCTGGCCTCTATCAGATTCGTAATCATGCACATAGTCGGTAAGACATTTTGGACGAGGGATCAGCTCTTCGCAAAGCCACTATCTACACACAGAACAACACAATCACAGAATAAATGTACACAGACATCTATGCCTCGAGTGTGATTCGAATACACGACCCCAGTGTTTGAACGAGCCAAGACTTTTTATGCTTCAGACCGCGCTACCGCTGTGATTATCTTCTCTGACTCACTACACCTTATTCTGCAAAGTGTTCAAGTATAATATTCTTCTATGATGCACATTTGTCACTTTCTGTTTCATTTTCACGTTAAGATCTGAACAAAGTCCATGCGAAGTTTTCCTGGTGTTGTATGTTAAGTTTATATTTTATCACAGTTAAATATCCTTTAAAACCTCGTTAATTCAAATTAATGTAGAGAAGGTCTAGTCCGAATTAGTGAATAGAACGATTTGCGGATTATAGGCCTAATTATGTTCCGAAGCAGCTGTTTATATAAACAAGCAAATGTATTCACAGTCCAGCAATATCTGTTATCGTAGACATTATCAGGGCATAAATACTGTATGATGAAAAGAAGAAAACGTTGTAATGTCAAATTTTTACATTAAATTAAGTAAAAGTAAAGGTATCCCTGTAACAGGCCGTGGAGGCCCATAGGGTTGTGAGACGACGAGGTTCCCACATTTTCTAGACAATCGGCTCATGGATGGGGGTGATGTCAATCTTTCACGGCGGCCGCCCTTCACCCCTAAGTATATTCCAAGAAGATTCCTGGTACTTATTTCTGTTAGAGGCTGAGTCGACCTCAGGGTCATAGTGCGACTGGAAGAATTAGGTCAATTGAAAAAAATACAATGACCTCATCGGGACTTGAACCCGCGAACTTCCGGTTTGTAGCATAGTGCCTCAATCAACAACGCTACCGCTTGCCCCCTGGAAAAAATATTTTTAAAAAAGGAAATTTATACTGTTTTCAGCTCAAATTGATGCTATATATATCGACATTTTTTTAACCAACAGGAAGTTGGGAATTCTGTTAACAAATTCTCGTTCCGGAAATACCTCCGTTCTGCGTAAATAATATATATATTGAAGGAGAAATCAATCCTGATTTTAGAGGGTCCGAAATCGTAGGTTTGCTATATTCGATTATAGAAGTTTTAGACTCAAAACTTGTACATTTTAAAACTCTTTAAAATACAGTCCTGAGGGCGTAACGTGTGACGCTCGAAGAATAACCTTCAAGATATGAATTCTTACAGCTCTGAACATGAAGATTTATCTCATTTGGTATGTGATCTCGTGTCGTTTAATAGAAAGTTAACCTACAATTCGTAGAAATTTTCCTACCAATCTACACGGCATCATATCCCAGACTACAGTAATCCTTGAAGAAGACTATTGATACCGTAAATAGGATGGACAGAGGTTTTGGGACTCACCTCTTAGGGACGGATATCCTGCGCTGTCGGAACATACTGTCCACACTGCGGAACAGCATTCCACGCTCACAAACACTTGATGAGCCGGCCGACCTCAACCTTGCGCTCCGTGTAACACTTTCCACACAACCTTCTTGTCAGCTGGTAGCTGCAGGAGTAACGCTTTACCGAACTTTGGTCGTCTTTACCGTCTTTACGGTGAGATGCGACCTAAACCGCTACATCACTGCGCATGCGCTGACACTTGCCCTGATTTTCTGAGCAAGTATTAGTTCTTGATGCGTTTCATTTACGTATAAGGAAGGGACGATGCGTTTCAGGAGTGCATTTGTCGCGTGACAGATTTGTTGTCGGTCAAGAAGGAAATGTCTCGGCGGAGACTCCGGAGCCGCAACTGAGGCACGTGGAGCTAAGGATGATGACGTCTTGAGTCCGCAGGCGAACTATACCGACCGAGCGACCGCCGCTTGTCGGCGAAGTTAGTGCCAATTTTAGGCAGCGTCTACACGAGTGCACAAAATGCGTCCGTTCTAGCGAACGTACTTTGCTGAGGACACCACACAGTTGCAGAATGCGGTGCGCAGTTTTTTGTCTGCAATGGAGCCAGAAGAAAAGCGTAGCATTCGCCTCTCGTGTTTATTTCTACAACGGACGTCACGACGATTGTTACAACGGACGCATTTTGTGCGGATAGATTTTCAGAGAAGCAGTGGGTCTGGAACGGGGTCCACTCAACCTCGTGAGGATAGTTGAGAAGCTATTTCAAGAAAATAGCGGCTCCGGTGTAGAAAACCGAGAGTAACGGCCGTGGGGATTCGTTACGCTGACCACGCGACACCTTCTATCCGCTAAAGTTGGCACTAACTTCGCCGGCAAGCGGTGGTCGCTCGGCCGGTATAATTCGCTTACGGAATAAAACCACGGAGTTTGTTTTGTATGATTTTGTATATCAACAAAATTCAAAGCTTATATTTTGCTTGAAAGCTCATAATACTTTGTAATGCATTGTGACTATGGTGGTCTCATTACGGCAAATGGGACTTGAAATCTAAATTCTGATAGCAGCAACGGCATACAGCATTATCAGAGTTGGAAGGGCTAAGCTGGGAGATGCGATAAACTGCTCCCTCTCCTCCTGCTTTTTATTCTGGAGATCCTTGTTTAGATTCTCGGCAGAGAGACAGGTTGGTTATATTAGCTGAGATCGCCCTCAGTGCCCCCAAGAAAACGCCAGGAGGGCACATGAAATCAGCAGCGTTTGTACGCATCCTACAGCGATCTACATCAGTTTACGGTCGTTCAACATACACGTTTACCGTCAACGCAACAATACTTTTTTATTTCTTTATTTATATAGCACGCACTACATGTTTCGACCTCAAATGGGTCATCTTCAGGTGCTGCAAATTTCTCACATACTATTACCAAACTCCAGCATTAACATTCTCATTTTTATAAATGGTTCGTGCAAGTTTATCCAATTCATAAACTAGATGATTCTAGATAGAACTATAAGATTTATTTTGGACTCTATCCATCGTCTGGTATATACCATAAGACAAAAAAAAAATACAACGTTTCGGAGACTGGATCTGTCTCCGTCCTCAGGTGGATGGGGCAAGATAGACCTACTCCAGTGATTGAAACTAGCTCTTTCTAACGGGCCCAATTGAGTAGGTCTACAGTGCCCTATCCATCTGAGGACGGAGACAGATCCAGTCTCCGAAACGTTGTGGTTTTTTATCTTATATATACCAGACGATGGATAGAGTCCAAAATAAACCTTGTAAGTCTATACAGCATACACCATCGTCAGAATCCTTTAAAGTCTATAGATGATTCTAGATTAGATGTTGATTAAAATTAACAGTAAAATGAGAATAAAAATCTTATCTGTGATAACTCGTGTACACAACAATAGGTTAAATATAATTTAATAATTAGGTGATCCTAAATCCACGATTTTATATTAAAAGTATTTTAAAAATGATCTTTCACAACGTCATATGCTACGAGTAGCTTCGTGTTTGTTACTGCAGTAGCCCACGCACAGGCTTCATCAGATGCCTTCTACTGTTTGCTGCACTGGCTCGCCATATTAGTATCGTAATGTCACCATCTTCCTAGAGAGTAGATCCCCCTTCTCTCATGTTGTCGGGAGACATGGTTAATATGTGCTGCTTATGTTATATGGTAGATTGCGCTGCGTGGTTCATTCTACAGTAGTTAGCCTGTGGATCCTCAGTTTATCCGCCAAGAATCGAACCAGGTTTCCCTCAAACAAGAAGCACGGATATTAACTTCTACACCGCACGAGATGCACATTTTTCGGAAGCGAGACTAAAACGGAATATTTGCATCCCTTTTTAGAGTTTTTCATCTATACCTGTTGTTTTATGATCTCTGGAAACAGACGTGAAAACAGATTAAAATGCAGTCAAGCTTTTCAAATTGAAATCTTTAAATACACATCTCCAGACCTGCTCTGGGGCCCATACAGCCTCCTGTCCAATGAGTTCCGGGATCTATTTCCCCAGGTGTAAAGCGGTTGGAGCGTGAAGCTGACAACTCATCTCCATATAGTGTAGAGAACAAGAATGGTGGAGTTATAACTCCACTCCTCACACGCCTTCATGGTGTGATGCTCAATTAATTAAACATAGGGACAGTTTTATCTTTGTCATCTTCAATGACCATCAGAGCATTGCTTCAATCCGGTGGCACGGTTTTCTTCTTCAGCTGGTTAAAGCGCTGGCTACCTCAAAATGAATTGCTCGGTTAAGCAGTTAAATATTCAGGTCGAGATCCATAAATGTTCTTAATTCGCCCTTCTATGACATAGCGTGCCTCAGATTTCCGCTTGTTCATCTGACCATGACCGGCAAATGAGAATACATAGGCGATTTTTCACTGTCACAATCTTGTTTAATGGCCTGCCAACAGACTCGTTGAAGTCTGCGCATTAGAGAGAGCCATAATGTCTGATGGGCTAGGAAACTGGGGTTTCATACAAATATAGCGCTTACGGGGACATAGTCACGCCAATAACCTCACATCACGACTGGAATACGGTCAACAGTGTCGGAAATTGGCCGCCAAATCATTATTATGAGGGCTGTCTGTGGCCTCATCGTCAGCGCCTGTCTTCTCTGCACGCACACCACAATGTCCAGTCTACACGCTGAACTACTCCTGTCTTCAGAAAGGAGGTATCAGAATGTGGAAGAAGCAAATCTCTCGCTGTACGTCACGATCTGGGTGAGCGCCCCAAAAAGTGCTTGATGTCAAATCTGGGCGGGCCGGTTGTCGGAGCCGGCAGTAATTCAGCCAGTGCCAAGGGTTCGATTACTGGCAGGGTTGTTGGTATGGGCAAAGTAATCAGTATTGTCACAGTCAGTAAAGATGGAAGACAGGTGAGGAATTCTTGATTCCTGAAAAGAAAGCTTCTGTTTTTCTCTTCTACACTGATTTCTTATACTACATCAAGATCCATTCAGCCTCTTCTTCAGAGCTATAGCGGCCGGAGCGTAAAGCTGATATTTCTTTTCCGATTTGGGGGCATGGCTAAGAATTGTGACGTGTTTCCTCCACGCGCTTCTTTGTTTTCTAGTAGCCTACTTTTCGTTATTGATGCTTGGTAACGTAAAATTGATCAATTTGTTCCTGACAAGAAGGGAGCCTTTGTGGTATACAAGTGACATGTCAGGAGAATTACTGTTATGTATTCGTTGCACACAGTACGTACATTGAAGGCACTGTATAACCTGAGGTCGTTTCCAGCTCACTGTCTTCTCTCTTCATCCATGATCTCACTGAACAATTTTGATTTCGGAATCTTCATTGACACTTCCTTTTGCATGAATATATGATTGGAAGTAACTTATACTCGTAACTGTGAGGTTCCCATGTGTCTGTTCACATAATCATGTAAACTGAGCTATCAACACAACAGAAAAATATTGTCACGTGTTGGGTGTGTCACACGACAAATAACTTCACGCAGTTCTGGATCTAGCTNACTCGCGACCATATTTTACTGTTTCAGATTTGAGATTTCCCTTTTCGTCGCCTCCTACGACTCGCAGGCTCACGGTGGAGGTATTCGAAACCGCCTCCACACGGGTGGGGACTCTAGTCTTTCGCACTGACGAATACTCCTGTTATGTAGCTTCCGCACTGACAACACAGGAAACAGTTACGTGATAGCTTTCATTGTTGCGTAACGTCGTGTTTACCGATTGCCTAGCAACAGTCGCTGCACGGGCTCCCCTGTTGCGTGACGCCGTGTTTACAAAGGCGTTGCTGGGCAACTAGCTCGCTTCGGCTTGGCTCGGCACGGCACGGACAAACACCGCTATCTTTACTGTTGCGTAATCTCGTTTCCACTGTTGCGTAACTTGGCAACCGACCGTTTATCAAGGGTCTGTCTTCGTGGTAACTCGTTCCACCTCCCATTGCCCAGCAACGGTTAGACATGTCAAAGTATCTTCAAGTTGAAGACAAAATAGATACTACTGTATCAATATTTATTTATTACGCGAAGGTGTACGTTACATATTTCTACCTTTTCTATCTGATCAACAGGCAAGTTACAACAAGAACAAAGACCTTGAATTTAGTTGTCTTAATATTTTTTTCCTTGGCACTACAGCCCCAGTGGGCCTAGGCCTACCTCCATGAACTTCTCCGTTCACTTCGATTTTTCGAGATCTTACACATTCGGTAGGACTCCTTGGACGGGTGATCAGCTCGTCGCAAGGCCTCTACCTGTAGACAAACACAGAAAAACGCACACACACAAACTAAACATCCATGCCCTGAGTGCGATTCGAACCCACGATCCCGGTTTCCAAGCGAGTGAAAACAGTACATGCCTTAGACCGTTCGGCTACCGTGACCGGCAGTTGTCTGAATATGAATTCATATTTTACAGTTTGTTGATATTATTATAGCGAATACATACTTTGCAGAATATACGCTAATAATATACGCGACGTCTTAGTGATGCGCTGTCGCTGTCTAAAATTAAAGGTAATTAAAATCTGTTATATTAGGAATTTTATTATTTAGTATTAATGAGTTTATTAACGTAACATGCCTTAAAATTAGTTCAAAAGTTATTAAAAATGTTAATAAGTCTTTAAGTAAAATAACGCGTCGAATTATATGTTTAGTTCTAATTCTAAGTCTGTTCACATGTTTACCTCTAATCACTCTGAAGGGATTTAGACTAATTTTTGTAACTGAGACGAAACTG